CGAACGTGCCGACGACGGGCGGCAAACAGGCCGACGGGCGGGCCGCAATGGGCGGCCGACGGGCGGCAAAGGGGCCGGGACGGACCGGCAACGGGCCGGGACGGGCCGAGACGGGCCGGGACGGGCCGATTCGGGCCGAGACGGGCCGGGACAGGCCGGGACGGGCCAGCAACGGGCGAGCGCGGGGCCGCAGTGGGCGGCTAAGTCAGGGCCGCGACGCGTGGCGACGGGCTAGTGACGGGCAGCTACGGGCAGGGCGCGCGACGGCGCAGGTAAGGCAGGCGCGAGGCGCGCTTCGGGCAGGAAAAAAAAAGGTTCGTGGTGGGCCCTAAAAAAACGTTCCCACGAGGGAACCTGCTTAGAATACCATGTTAGAATCAAGAATGGAATGGATGAACTAGGAAGCAGGTGGGTACAAGTAGGAAACCTAAAAGTGTTGTACCCTATATGAACTACCCAACTACAGTCTAGATAGACTATAGCATATAAGTTTGACACGACTCACACTTCAAACGTACCTGGACAACCTGGCAGCAAATCGAGACCTCACGGGCGGCTTCCGTGGCAACCGAGCTTTCGCTTCAGCAGCAGACGAAGCTGACTGGGACGAGCAGAACGTGGACGGAGCTTCGGAAGAAGCCGGACCTCTTCCGTACTTCTTTGTGAACATCCCCATGGACAATGACAACCCTTGCGAAAGCGTCAACACCGAAACCTACTTCGACTTCGCCGACACCGATTACGTTACACCCCAACCGGTCGACACCAACATCTCCGAGCGCATAGGACCAAATTTCTTACCACATCCAGAAGCGGGAGATGAAGCAGCTTATCCCGAGGACACAAATCTCCCCCGCTACACACAGAGTGGACTGCAGATACTGGGACTCGTCACTTCTGTCCACGGAGCAGCACCACCTAAGGAGCCTGCCAACATCCAGTAGGCTATGGGGGGGGAACACAGGGAAAAATGGCGCGAAGCCATGGACAGAGGGTTAAAAGCGCTGCAAGAACGCAACACCTGGAAATTCGTGCCTATCGGAGTGGCACGCAACAAAACCGTTCTCACGGGAAAATGGGTTTTCCGCGTGAAAACAAAAGCCGACGGAACAATCGACAAATTCAAGGCATGCTGGGTCGTGCGTGGCTTCGACCAAGAGCAAGGACGAGACTTCACGGAAACATTTGCTCCTGTAAGCTGACATACCTCATTGCGGATTCTCCTCGCGATAGCCGCCATGAACCGGAAGAAGCTTCGGGAAATCGATGTCGCCAACACATTCCTCTACGCCCCCGTCGATGCTGAGATCTTCGTCGAACTCCCGCACGGATCTAACGGAGACTCCAACCAAGTCTGTCAGCTGGAAAATTCACTGTACGGCATCAAACAAGCCCCGAGACTGTGGCAGCAGCATCTTCACGCCCGCCTAATCCGCATCGGATTCCTCCAACTACCGCACGACCAAGGGATGTACCGACTCACAAAGGGTACTGACTATATCCTACTCATCGTCTATGTAGACGACCTCCTCTACATAGGCTCTACTGACGACATAATGACCTGGTTTGAAGGGGAGCTGCAACGGGATCTCACACTCACCGTCGCAACTACCGTGACACAGTACCTGGGACTGAACATTCAAGACGGTGACAACGCAATCTACCTCAGCGCCGAAAATTACACGGACACTATTGCTAAACGATTCGGACTCACTCCAACCGCCATCTCCACGCCATACCGCTACACCGACGGAAACCGCAAAGTCTCCGCCCTACTCAAACCTGCCGGCATTCGCAACTACCAACGAAAGTTAGGCTGTCTACTCTTCGGAGCCGTTACCTGCCGACCAGATCTATCCTACTCAGCTAGTCAACTCGCTATCTACCTCAAGAAGCCCGAAGCAGAGCACATGCTTGAACTCGATCGAGCACTTCACTACCTCGTCAGCACTCCGACGATTGGACTAACCTACCACAAGACCGGAACTACGACACCTAAGTTAATCGGCTACGTCGACGCCGATCACGCTGGAGATTCCGACAACGGACGTTCTCGAACTAGCTACATCTACAGACTCGAACCTATTGGCCCTATCTCATGGCGGTCTAAAAAGCAAGAGCTAATTGCTCTCTCCTCAGCAGAAGCATAATATATTGCACTCTTCTCAGCCACCAAGGAAGGGCTATATCTTCGCGAATTGCTGGAGGAAGCAAAGTTGGCTCAGTTACCCAGCTTCTCCCTCTTCTGCGACAACCAATCGGCCATTCGCATAGCGAACAAAAATGGGTTCGCAAATCGAACGAAGCTCAAAGACGAAATCGAGAAGGGAAGACTCGAACTATCCTACTGTCCCACATCCGAGATGGCAGCCAATTACTTGACCAAGAAACTCGGAAAACATAAGTTCGAGTACTGCATGCTGCTGACTGGACAAGGACACGTCATCAGCAACGACACTCCAGAAGCAAAGGGGAGTGTTGGAAACAAATAACTTAAACGCTTCTGAAGTATTGAAGTATCGACACGAAACGAAGCAGACTGCAGTGAAGCAACACGAGTCAACAAAAGCAACCGCTGGAGGTTACGCGAAGGTCAAGGTCACTGACCTTTAACTCAACGAATACAGTGCGACAGCAAGGACACATAACTGACTCGATACTGAGCAGTTACTCGAGTCGGCACTGTATCGAACCGCAACAGCAAAAACAGTTAAAGTGGAACTTTTCATATTCCTTTGTAATCATATAAAAGCCTTGTATTTCTCTTCTATTATCAACTTATCTTGTTCTCATACACGAGTACAAGGTGGTTCAGCAACTCTGATATTAAACGCTTCCGCAAACTACAACATTCCTACTTCAACCATAGATCTTAGCCTTGAAAGATCCTAAGGGCCTTTCTCAGCCCAACATAAACAAGCCCACCAAGCTAGTTGGGACCTCTACTTAGAGGGACATCAATGTTTGGCATTCGGTATTCGCCCTCGAGAGTGATTTCATACCACCGTTATTTTGCTGAACACTCTAATCTACCCGCGCCCACTACTTTCCATACCCGGTTCGATGCTGAAACTGGGAAAACAACTTTCTCCGACAAATTACGGGGGTGGTTTAGGGTGGTTGTTCCGCGTCCTGGCGAACAGAATGGTCGTTGTGCTCGAAATGTTTGGCGGGGCTCGCCTAAAGGTTACAGTTTTCGCTTTCGCCTGAGCTGGCCATTTGGTCGGATTTTGGGCTTGGTCGGAGGAAAGTTACACGCCCTAAGGTCTCCGGTTCGAGGCTCTGGGCTGTCATGTATCGTAAGGGCTGCAATGATATCACCCGTATCATATGGGTGAACATAGTAGCTTTTTCTTTTGAGAACCCTGTAAAAACAGCCTTTTTTTTTAGGAACACTGAAAATCAGCCTTTTTTTCATAGGGACCCTGATGCATCAACGTCCCTAAAGGTGAATCTGAGGGCCTGATCGCGACACTAGGCGACTAGGCGAAATTTACAGTTGTGCGCATTTGATTGGGTTTCGGGTTTGACTGTACATCCGTTTCTTCAACCGCCTGGCAAGGGTGTGGTTTCGACGCGTGGGATTTTTTCCCGCACGAAATTGGCTCTGTGGGGTGTCCACGTGCATTGACATTTCGAACCGCGTGCGAAATTTTGAAGATGACAAGGCATCGCGCAATTCGTCCGCGACTTTAGCGCGTTTCACGCTAACCAATGGAAAATACACTGAATGTTGCAGTATGGCGACGCGAGTTTATGACACACTATAGTTTATGTAGTTTTTGCGCGTCACAAAGTGATTGAGACACAAATGTCAAGATGAGAATTGTTAAGAACAGAAGGATGCTAAGAAGACTAGGTCACATGAGTGACGAGAGAGTAGAGCGAGAAGAAGGGTTTTCACTATAGCACATGTACAAGATATAGCAAGGGAAGGTGGCCAAGGGAGGTACACCACCAAATAGAGAGAAATCTACAGTGATACTATACTAGCTACGTTGTATGCAGTTATATAAAGAATACAATTCTTGACATCCCCCCTTAACTGCAAACAAACGTAGCCAGTGAGGGGCGCTCTACCCGTGCAGTCATCACCGTGCCGCAACTTGAACCACCGTGGTTGAACCCCCACGGCAGGTGCCCGGTTGCGGTTGAACCCCCGCAACAGGTGTCGGTGTGCGTAACGAGGGTGACCACGCCCAGAAACGACGGATAGTAACGAAACGAGAAACGACGAGAAAAAACGTTACGAAACGAGAAAACATAATAGAAGAATCTCTCTCTCTCTCTCTCTCTCTCTCTCTCTCTCTCTCTCTCTCTCTCTCTCTCTCTCTCTCTCTCATCCCCCCTGAACCTCTCTCATCCCCCCTGAACCTCTCTCCCCCCCCCCCCCCCCCCCCGCACAGCAACAAGTGATGCAGTGGAGAGAAGAAAGGGAAGGGAGGGACGGGTTGCTGGTGGTTCACACCCGCCACCCCCACATCTCCCCCTCCCCCCCTCCCATGAAGGAATCCGTGGAAGGGAGGGCGGGGGGGGGAGGGGGGGGGTTTAGCTGCTGCCGGCACTGGCGCTGGTGCTGGGGCAGGCGTAGGTGCCGGCGCTGGCGCTGGGCGCAGGCGTTGGCGGCAGTCGCTGGTGTTGGTGAGCGCTGCTCCGTGCACCCCCAGGAGGAAGCGGGTGAATAGCAAGCGGGCTGAGCGGATGGGTTGGGCATGGTAAGGGGGGAGGGCAGGGGGGAGACAGGGAAGTAGGGGGAAGCAGGGGAAGTAGGGGGGAAGAAGATGAAGCAGGGGAATGCAGGAGAAAGCAGGAAACCAGAGGAACTAAAGACAAGGAGAAGGGTTTCATGGTGAACCACAAGTGTTGTATTTGCCTGGCAATGTACGGTAAGGCCGGGTCATTTTCATTCGTTTACAATTGTCTTTGTGAGGTTCAGTCTGGTGCACAATGGTCTAAAGCGGTGAACACCCAAAGTGGTTTCGGGTGCCACAACAACAGCATCACATAAGTGGCACCACCACTTGCTCCTCACACATGACTACCAACAGTCCACTTAACAGTCTTCCCATGCATACCTCACACTGCAAGATGAGCATCAAGCCATCACATACCACCACTCTTTCACCACAAACTGCTGCATCAAGGACTTTGCCAGCACCACGCCACCCACCTTGCAGAATGGGCATCGAGCCATCAAACACCACCACTCGCTCCCGCCCAAAGCGCCGCACCAGCATCGCCTCTACCTCCAATTTATTCACCCGTGCCCTCGCCCCGCCCTCTGCCCGACTCGCCAACACCACCAGCCAGTCGGGTGGGAAGGTGCGCGCCTCAGCAGCAGAGAGAGGGGCGTGGTGTTGACGGTAGGTCCGGTCAGGGTTGAAGAGGGGGAGGCCAGAGGGGTGCAGCAGGTGGAGGCGGCGCAACAATCGCCAGAGCGAGGGGCTGGACCGGTCACAGTCCTGGTATATGGGCTTGTGGGGGAAGCATGGTGGGGAGAATGTGGGGGAAAGGATTGGGAAGAATAGTGATAAAGAGGGAAGCTGAGATGGTCGCTGAGAGGAGTGCGTATTGGTGGCGGTAGGTCCGGTCGGTGTTGAAGAGGGAAGGCCAGAGGGGTGGAGGAGGTGGCGCTGGCAGAGCAGTTGCCAGAGTGAAGGGCTGCGATGGTCGCAGTGCTGGTTTATGGGCTGGTGGGGGTGGGAAGAAGTGGGGGTAAGGGGGAAGAGGGGGGTTGAAGAAGGGGAGGCCGGACCGGAGGGGTGCAGCAGGTGAACATGGCCCGTTAGGACTCCGCTTGCTACACAAGCGAAACAAAGACCTACAAACACCTTCAAGTGCCCGGACCGGCGGCGCCGCAGCAGTTGCCAGAGGGAGAGGGTGGGATCTGCCTTCAGCCATCAGCCTTCTGCCTTCAGTCCTCAGCCCTCGGCTATGGGTATTTAAGGGGCCTGCGAGCTCTCTTGTCGATTGTCCGCCGCCTCCCGCCGCAGATCCTAAGCGACTACTCCACCTGTATGCTGGCTGCCTTACTACAGATCTCCAAGCTGCCAAACTGCGCGGGAGCGTGGCGGGTCCTCATGTTCCTGCCACGTCTCACATTGCAACTTAGCAGGAGGTCCAGCTCTAGGTGGAAGGTGCTGCAAGCTCAGATGCATCTATTCAGATGTGGCCACTAGACCCAACTATACAGTGACTACGTGGGGTCCCTACACCAAGCCGAGCCACCTCAGCACCAGCGTGACCCCCTGAGAATCTGCTCACGTGCGGAGGGGCTGGTGAAACAGGGTAACCTGCGAAAGGCGTTAGCAGCCCTTCAATCCTCGCCATCAGCTCCTGCGACAATCGCAACACTGCAGCAGTTGGAATCGAAACACCCCCAACCCCAAATTGACCTGCCTGATTGGGTCCACACCTACACCACACCCACGCAAGTTTCGACCACCGCGGAAAGTTTCTCCAACGTCCTCGGCGGTCAACATTCGAACACTACCACGACCCAGCCCTAAGGACGTGTGTCCTTTTTGCTCCCGACGGTTCGAACCGTGGACCGTCCGATTTGCGAAAATGTTACCCGTTTCGTCACTTGTTGTGACTGTTTCGTGAAGGTATTGGCGACGTCGCCAGCGGTTCGACCTGTCGCGTCACTTTTCCCTCCAAGCAACGGTTCACATTCTGAACTTTTGGCAGTTCGAATTGCAAACGGACAGATGCACAGTTCTGGCACTGAATTGGTGCACGAAGGACTCGAAAAACAAAAACCGAGCCGCATGTTCAATTTATTTGAGGCCCGCGACTCGCGCCTGAACATTGAACGATCGCATCACCCCCTACCCCACCAACAGTTCAAAGCCCCCAGCAATCCGAACTGAACCCTCACAACCAGCCTGCAATGGAGCACTCTAGCGCAGGTGACAACTCTGAACCGGCCAACACCACCCCGAACACCTCTCGTCCAAGTCCCCATACTGAACACCCGCTCCCTCCAGATCTGCCAAAGGCAGAAGAGTCCCAGATCGCTGCTCAGACTCTCGCCAACACTCAGCCCTCCACCGCAACCACCGTCACTCCGGCTGACAGGTGGGTCTACCAGATCCCTTCCCCCACAGCCTCCTACGACGCCGACGACGATTATGGTATCGGTGCTGACATGGGCAATGTCGCAACTCTCGGCGAGGTAGAGGAGGAGCAAACGGAGCAGGAGACAGCCCCGGCCGCTGAAACTACAGCTCCTTCACGCTGATCTAATGGCAGGACTCTCCCTCGCTGGACCCCTGAAGAAGAATGCGAGGTCCTAGCCGCGTTCATCACCAGGCAAGCACAGATCCGGGCGCGCACTGGGCAGCAAGGCCGCAGTTGGTACCCGTTAATCCAGCAAGAGCTTCTGGAGCAGAATCCCTCTTGGCGTCACGATGTATCCGCGCTCAAGGCGAAGTACAATCGCATGAAAGAGCAATGGCGCAAGATCAACGATCGCATCAAGCGCTCCGGGACGGGCCGCGCTACTGGTCTCCCTGCTTGGTATAACCTCGGCGAGACTTTATGGGGTGAGCGCCCAAGTACAATCCCCCCTGTGCTTGCAGGCACTGGGTTAAATCGTCGCGGCGGTGGAGGGAGTACGGTTCGCACCAGCTCCACTGCGACGCCTACAGCGACGCCTCCCACCACCACCTCTGTGCGTCGTACGGCACCAGTCACGACGATTCCCTTGTCTGATACATCGACGGCTGTGGCGATCGCCGTTTCCGCACCTCCGACAAACCCGCTCCCTCTGACAGCAACGTTCCCGCCAACTGCAGAACCCGAGACAACTAGCACTACTGCTGATACATCCGCTCCCACTAACGGTCCGTTGTCGACCGCAACGATAAATCCCTCCACCCCCTCTCGCGCTCCGCCCCCCGCTGGAGACACCCCTTCCCGCCGCGGGCCCCTCTCTCCCTTGTCGCCAGACACGATCCCGCTCGCATCTCCAACATCCGGTCCGCCTGATTCAGGTGCGACGACGGGTGTCTCGATCCGCAGTCGTCGCCAAAACTGGGGAGCGCGCCTGGCAACTGGTGGGAAAGAGGGGTGCAGCCGCAACGCGTGGTATCAGTATCCACGCCAACAGACCGACGGCAATGACGGGCAGGGGGGTAAGGGAGGTACAAAGGGCATCGGTTGCAACTCCACAGGGAGAGCAAAATCCGCGAGCACGGCAGAACTGGTGCGCGAGCTACGTGACCACAATGATAAGCGGCAGGATGAGAAGTGGGAGAAGATCGCCGCAGTCCACCTCCTCATCCGAAGACGAGGCGTGAACCCGCGAACCTCTGCGCCGGTGAGTCGAAGTTGTGCCACGGGACCCGCTAGCCACCACCGATTGCGCTCGCTCGTAGGGCCGAGGCGATCCCTGCTCCCGATCGTGAGCTCAATGTTGTGCAATGCGACGCACGCGCTCACGACTTGCGGGACCCGTTCACTGTGGCACTCCATCCGCGCGTCCAGAATTCTCCACTTCCCCTTAAGCCTCCCATTCACTTGCTCAACCACCATTCTCTGCCTTGACTGTTGTGTGTTCCATTTGTCTTTTGCCCGTGGCAGAGCCCTTCTGTTATAGTCACAATAGGCTTGAATGTGCCTAAAACGAAAGATAGAGAGCACAGACGGATTTCTGCACAGCGGCTTCAAACGTTGATAGCGTTCTGCTCACAGCTGCAAATGACTTGATTCAAATTGGATCTGGAGCGTCTTCACGTCGTCTACAATTAGCAATTTATATTGCACGATTTGATAAAGAATTGACGACACAGCGTCGGTTTGAACGAACGGTACTATGGCAGCCACTATAGTCTTAGAACACAAGATAGGAAGAGTTACGAGTTGGGAATGACTCCCAGCTCCTACAAACCCCAAGAGCCGAGGTACAGTGATGTGGAACAGTGCCACACTGTCCCCAACCACGAAGGGTCTCGAAACTACCCTTCACTAGGGCCTACACCAAGTGAAATGTTACACTACACAAAGTAATGTAACTATCTTCAATATCTTGAGGTGTACCCTTTTTGGCGAGCTTCGAAATCACTTGAGGCTTGACACCAAGGCTCGGGCTCTTCATCACAAACTCATCCTTGAGTTCTTGATGGGTCTGCTGCACACACCTGCGACACGCCGAACGTTCGACACAGGACAAAATAGAAACCGCGCACGACAAAATAGAAACCGCGCGCGAGACACAAACGACCGCGTAACACGCGTCTAGCGATAACTCGCTATTGACTCGACACACACACTCGACATCATGACTCAACATTCACACACAATTATAAGCATGAAATATATATTATCCCATGCCCTCATACCATTCCATACACACACACATTCACGCACACGGACAACAAGCCGAGTGCAAACCGTAGGGTTGCACCAACAAACTCCCCCTCGGATTGTTGGCCTTAGGATATGTTGCTCTCTCAGTTCAGAGCCATCCCAGCCAGCTTGCAACACTTCCAATGCTGCTGCTCCACCAGCCTCTTGGTCATCATGTCAGCCGGCTGCCCCGTGGTCTTCACGTAGCGCAACTCAACTTCACCCGCGGTTACCATGCTCCTCGTCCAATGCCACTTCACCCTCATGTGCTTCGTGAGTCCATGCAACACAGGGTTCTTAGCAAGAGCAATGGCACCCTGGCTGTCACAGTACAGTGGGGTAGGTCCTTGCTGCTCCTCCCCCAATTCAGCCAACAAACGCCGCTGCCACACAATCTCCCGTACGGCACGGAAGAGTGCCATGTACTCGGACTCCACCGAGCTCAAAGCTTGGTTAACCTGCTTCTTGCTCTCCCAAGCAGTTGGGCCTCCACCAACACAGCATATGAAGCCTCCCACACTTGTCATGTCCTCTGGTTTTGATGCATATGAAGCATCCGAGTAGGCGGTGAGGAACAAACGCCCGGGTTCAACACCATCCGCGCCCTTTTGGCGCCTTTGTGCCGCCGCCGAGTATTGCAGCCCAACGGTCGGTGTTTGGCCAAGATACTTGGCCACCCTCATTCCAGCTGCTACCTGCTCCTCATTAGGGCATTGCACAACCCTAGCCAGCTGCCCGGTAGCAAACGCGACGTCCGGTCGGGTGTTTACCGCCGCATACATGAGGCTGCCCACCAACGAGTGAAATCGGCGCCTCTCCTCTTCACCAACGCTCTCCTCCTCTGGTCCCTTCACACACTTGAACCCAGAGGGAAAGGGTGTAGCCACATGGCCTTCACTCTGCCCAAAGTTGGCAGCCAATGCCTCCAGGTACTTTCGTTGATGCACCCGCATGCACCGCTTCTCCACATCTCGTTCGATGTGGAGCCCAAGGTAGAAGCTCACGTCACCAAGGGCCTTGCACTTGAACTTGTCTTGAAGCTTCAGCATCACCTCCTTCACAAGGTCAGAAGAGGGTGAGAAAATGAGGATGTCATCCACATAAACCACCATGAAACTCCTCTGCTCCCCCTCGCCAAGCATGAACAAGGAGTGATCGGCCGTTGAGGGAGTGAAGCCGATCCCCTCCAACACTTCGCGCAGCTTCATGTACCATTGCCTAGGGGCCTGCTTCAGCCCATAGAGGGCCTTCTTCAGCTTCCACACTCTGCCACTACCATCATCATACCCCTCTGGCTGCGCCATAAAAATCTCCTCCTCAAGGATGCCGTTAAGGAATGCCGTTACGATGTCCATTTGCTTTACTACCCATCCTTTGATGGCGGCTCCCGCGAATAGGGTTCGCAGCGTCGTCGGCTTCACCACAGGGGCAAACAGCTCCTTGAAGTCCACCTTCTCCTTCTGCTGGTACCCCTTGGCTACAAGCCTAGACTTGTAGCGCTCGATCTTGCCGTCGGCATCCGACTTGATTTTGAAGAGCCACTTGGACGTTATCGCCGTACGCCCCTCCGGTAGCTCCACCAATTCAAACGTGTCATTCTCCTCGATGCTCTTCAGCTCACTCTCCATGGCCTTCTTCCACTCCTCAGCATCACTACTCTCCAAAGCCTCCTTGAGAGTTGCTGGTTCTCCCGGCATCTCCACCGGAGAGAAGAACGCGAAGGCACACTCC